GAATGCTTGTCTGTTTCCCAACTGTGAAAGCTCTGAGTAGATTTTAGCAGGGACGGATTACCTAGACCGAAATGCTAGCCAGTAAGGTGTGGGTTTTCTCATCGACAGTACAGTATGTTTCAGTTGAGCGCCCACTGGAGTTTTCGGTAAACATTTTGAGTAGTAAAATTGATGAGTTAACAGGGAAAATCACATGAGTTGTTTCAAACATGGAAATTAAACAATCAGTCATTGCGTACTTGTTAGAAAAAATAGTTTTTTTATGCAAGAGTTTTATAAAACATTGCGCGCACCAGAACCAGCTAGCGTTTCCATACAATCACTGCCGCAGTCAATCGAGTTAAATACGCTATAAACGACTGGCTGGCAAATGCTCCGCCTGCCTATCTCCTGCATTATAGCTTTAAAATAAGGGTGAATTCGATGAATACTTTGGTACGTACTCTCTAGTTCATGTGTGCGTAGGTTGCACGCTTACGGCCAAGAGTAACGAGTTCACACGTTAGCAACTTTGTCACGTGCACGTAAAAATCTGTTCCGTAAGTCTAAAAAAAGCCCGTCGCAATAAAACAGGTGTAATGCAGAGAACATTTTTGGACAGTGAGGTGAAAAACTATATCTGTTCTATCTATTTTTCTTTATTAGATGAGTATCTCGCATCAAAAGCAGTCATATTTTTACACGTCCGAAACGGCAATCCGGCTGTAGTAAACTTTGGCCATTTCAGGCGGCGGCAAGCGGTTCTCCCTTTAATGTGTTGACTGAGTCACTGGTTGCGTGACGTCTGGCTAAATCTGCACATGAACCACATTGTAATTTGAAACACCTGAACACACAATAACGCCCTGTGGAAAATGTGATTTTGACATTGAAATGTTGGCACCATGATGAAATCTCCAATAATCATGAGAAAGCGTTTTAGATAAAATGTACAAGCTCCTCAAGATGAAATCCATTCCTCCCTAAAATAAGGTAGAAGGGGAGGAAGTTGTTGCGCCATTATCGCATAGACCATCAAGATAATGTTAGCTTCACGAGAAAAAAAGAAGGAAAAAGCAGAACAAGAATGAGAACCTCATTCACTTTTCACTAAGCCTAGTGGGCTGCAGGGAACCACTTCCATACTTAAGGATTGAGAGCGATTTGACCACACTCCGGTCATCTGATTGGTAAGATAAGTGACTTGAATACAGTCTCTCTTCTGTTTGGCAAAAGCGCGTTACTTCATTGGTGCTAACTAAGTGTCTTCATGCTGGGATGCCAAACCACCAGATTGGCGTCTACCTTGGTAAGTGGGTTGATCGTGCCGTATAGTTTTGCTTCAGTCAGTAGAAATCGGATTCTCCACACGTCACCTACAATGTTTGTATAAAAATAATTACTTGTAAAATAGATGCTTGTGGAAAGTACCTACCTTTATTTTATGTAACGTGCCCGTTGTTTATTTAAACAGCATTACTGATAACATTCATTTGGCAGTTATGAACCCTTGCATCCGGGATAAGAAAAGTTTGGACTAACAGAAACTATCAGGTTGTTTTTGAGAAAAACCGCCAAACCAAGACTTATCGAGACGTACTTAAGCGATGTGGAAACGGTCAGTTTTAAGTGGTGTTGCTTTTTGTGTACCCCTGTAACAGTGTGTGATTGTAGGGTTGCAACAAACAAATTGGGGGCTGGGGTTTCGTCATCAGTTGTGCGGAACCCCCCGGCATTGGCCGTATATGCGGCTATAGCAAAAGAACTAAGAATTTCTGTTTTAGTAAACCACAAGAATTTTCTGGTTCCGGTGTCATCATCATCACCGCTAGAATGACATCAGTATTCAACACCGATGCTTGCCAAAGATTTGTCTCCAGTTTATGCTAGTATACTCGTTTACAATAAGTGCTGCATTTGTAAGCCGTATATTGGAAGTAGTGGTATGCGAAAACGCTTGTTGTCATGCAACTGAGTAAACCATCTGTTGCTGGCAAACTCAAGGGAGACTTGGGTGAGATGACTCAAGTGGTTAGAACGCAAATTCACTGACCGGGAGGTCCGTGGTTCGAACCCGACCTCTGCCTCTCGACTTCCTCTGTCTAGGCTTGGGAAACCTGGAACTATCCCAGCCCTCGTGCTTCCTTCTGGTGCTATGCGAGTTGGGCACCGAAAAGGGAGTTATTTTTGAACAATTTTCATGGGAGATTATTGTTACCTTTAGGATACCTTAAAGTCTACTAGAGCCGAACGTTTTCTTTCATGAATCTCGCTGTCCGTATTGTTTAACTAATCAGTTAGTCACAATGAGCACGTGACCACATAGACAAACGATGGTGGCAAACAATAATTGAAAGTTAAGCGAGTATTCGCATTCTTTGGACAAAATATGGAAGAAATATAGAGCGGAAACTGTTAAAATAACGTAGCTCCAAAACAACTGTTACAAAAGTTACATCTTAGACCGGCGATTTGTTGACATACGTATGCTCAGATTGTGGACAATTAAACAGACATTTTACACAAAACAACTCATTGTTGGGTGATTACAACGGACTTGAGTTTCCTGAATCTTGCCTTTGAAAGCGCCCTATCGACCACGTCAAATTTAATTGCTAGCATGGCAGGTGATTTATCCGAAAATGCATGTGTATCTTATTTGATTAACAGTTCCAGGTGTCCCAATGCAATCGCGCGTTCTGTGAGCGAGGCTAAGCTGTGCCAAGAACCTGGGAAGTGCTGGACAGCCAATTCATCCTTATTATTTAGAAATATCAGCAGTGGTTTAACACACATGGCGAACCAGAAAAGCGAAATGCGTGGTTTAAATACATCCTGTTCGGCCACAAATGGCTGGTCAGCAGTATGATTAGTTCGCACACATTCCTGTGACACTGAATTGCATAAGAAACGGAATCCTCTCATTTGGGAAGTCGTCACTCGAGAATTCATTCGTCGCATGGTCATGTAAAGTGAATTCCGCGCTTGCACAATTGGTCAAGTTATATCATATCTACTCATGCTTTACCTACATAAGTTACACTTGATGATCGGTTTGGTCTTTAACTGCTGGTCGGAAGGTCGTGGACTCGAACCTCTGGGGGATTTTGTGGGATGTACCCGGTAGATTTTTCCCAATATGGATGAAAGAGGTGTGAAGTGCTCCTCAGCTTTTCAGCATATACCGACTTTACCGACAGAAGGACATCATTTTGTAAAATCACCAAATATAACCACATAATCACCACTACTATTGGAACGCTTCCTTCTGTGCTTCCTTCTATTTGTGAAATGCTAGAGTTCATCGAATTCTAAGAGTAGCTGAAGACAGTATAACCTTCCATTAGACACCATACCTCAATCAAAATGACCCTGTTTTGAGCACAAAATGGAGACTTGTAAAATATTGTATATAAAACTTTTGATTAGGAAATGTAGATCATTTTTGACCATGTAGATGGTTCTAGTTAATTTTTCGGTGCAGTGACCCCTTCCTGGGCTGGACCACTATTCGGGTAGATTAACAAACGGCGTTTTAGGATATCGGTTATACTTGGTTATTTTTTTACCACACTTTCTCCGTTGATCCCTTTCCAGGAACAAGTTTCGGGGAAAAGGGTTCGTAAATTTGCCAATTTTAGGCAATTTGAGACTTATAAACGTCATGCAAACAAGCACTGATAGAACGCAATTATTTCCAGTTTTCTTCGCTCACTATAAGTGAAAATGAACAACTTGACGAAACTCTGTGTCTTAGAGAATATCGGCCTATTTGTTTTGAAACAGCTTCTTCAACTTACTGGAAACTATCTGCTTTGAACCGATTAACATAGAAGCTCTCTTGTCACGGTGTTGAGACACTAGTTATTTGGTTCCTCAAGTGTGTTGTGTAAAGTTTTGCCCAACAGCCAGCTGCCCATCGTGAGAATGCAGGCCTTATTTCGTGAGTGGTTTTTTGACTTGGCCTCAAAACGGATACATTTACGTCAGAGAAACATCTACTCCGTGTTTATATTTAGTACTATTGTGGAGGACCATTTAAACAACAACGCTGTAAACAAGATGAAAAACAGATATTGTATCCTGCTTTCAAATATGTATTCGGTCTGTGGATAAGTTCACTTTTTTTGATGTAGCGAAATTTGGACAAGCTTGTTTTGGTGCTAAAACCTAATGATCTCGTCTTGCCTATGGCTCATTTATGTATTTGCGGTCAGCTTATCATATTTCATTGTCTCATGCAAATTTATGATAAATTACAGTGCTTGTAATTCACTCTGTTCAAATTCTAATAGCTACAAGACACCCACGCATTGGTCAACCAACCTAACACAATTGCGGACTTACAGCACCACACGTTTTGTCAAAATATTCTCCCAAAACGATTAAGGTCACGTCATACATGTCAAAATTCATAATTTGAAACACCTCATTTGGATGGGTATGATGGAATGTTTGTAATGGTTTATCTTCCGGCTGAGCTGCAAAAACAATTTTGTACGAATTATTCATAGCCGAAGGTAAGAAAAGTGTGTGCGGATGATCGACCATAAGATAGATATGAACGACCACAACTGGTGACAATGATGGTGATACCTTCTGAGTTCCAGTCACTTTAAAAACACCACGAAACTAACAATGTGAAATTAATCACTGTTGGTGAACCTTTCATTTATGGTTTGATTATATCTGGTCGGTTCGCAAACACGCTATGTCTCGGGTGATGCGAGAGCTGTCATAAACTTATTGAGTTGGAACAATCAGGTATTTCGCTGTACGTCAAGGAGAATGCAAACAGCCACTAGTCACCCTGAGAACGCCAAAATATTTTGCCACACCTTGAAAAGGTTTTCAAATAAGATGATCCCCCTGGTTACGAATAGCTATTCCAGGGCCATGCCGTTTTTATATATTGAATGTCCGCTGATCTATACGATGATGAGTAGTGAAATGTGCGTGAGATGCATGCAGTTTTAAGAGCATAAATCAATTTTGACGTCATGTGATGACAGTGAACTTACGAGGCGGGTTTTAACTGACCCAGTTTTCTGACTTTCACATCACAGTATGTCACCCGGGGAAACAATCCTGACACTTCCCATTGGCTGCCGGTCATTAGTTCCTGAAAGACGTGGAGGCCGAACAATGTGTCGTTTGTCCCGATAAAACGTCGCATTATGTAAATTTGCCCAACATTGTTCGCAATGAATAGAAAGCGTACAAATAGGAAGAGCAACGTAATTTGAGTTGTTGGTGGGGCACCGCGTAGGCATCGTTTGAATACACCACGAGTTCTGCGAAATCGTTTGGACGCCTCCGATACCTCTTCTAAGGCGGCGACAAGGCAGCTGATAGCTTTGTGTCGCGTCTCCTTATCAGGCACAGCGGCTTCTCGAGCGTTACGCAGCAGGACAGGGACGCGTTTAGACCAGACACGCCAGAACATCTGAGGAACCCAGGCCATCATAGCTTGACCAGCAAGCACGATTGCCACCCATTGGTAATACGAGATATGACGAACCCGAAGCATTTCAAAATCTTCTTCCGGGATGGCTTCATTTGGAAGTAGGAAGTAGGTGTTTTGGACCCAACACAAATTCTCTGCATAGTCTTCCCATGAACTGGTAAATTCTTGCGGAACCCAACAGTGAAGTGGTTTTCCTAAAAAACAGTGAAAAATGCATGTCTTATGTGCTTATGATGAACCCATTGGTAATATATAAACAAATTAGCTTCAGAAACCTTATGCCGAGGCTTATGGAGTAATCTTTTCTAAAAAAGTCGAAACGACACACTCAGGTCAAATGACCTCGCCCACTGATGAAGAATGAATGTCTGAGGCTTACTATTTCCATTACAAACACCCCTTTCACTAAATACATCTAGTTCCGCTCATCACACATATATGAGCGACACAAGGCCTCAGGTCTCCATAGAATGGCATTTCAATTGTAACCCACTGTCTGTCATAAAAAAACCGTTTTCCGTAGAAAACCATGTGACTGGAAGTTGTGTAACTAATTAAATCGAAAACAAAAGATGCCGGACAACACTTCCCCTAGTTGAACGGCAACCATTTTGATTCACTTTCAGTCATCAGCTTATATTTCTCGTTTAAGATATTACATTGTAGCCAATACATTTCTAACAAGGTTTTTACTCAGAAGACAGCCTTAACTCTTCAATCAAACACACTTACAGGTGGTATAAGAGCTTAGATGAAGGGTAACTTGCAATGCAACTGTAGATAACGACAGTCGAAAAAAAATTCCAGAATAAGAAGGGGCAATTTTCCGCCTCAAATGTCACAAATCTCAATTGAAGTTAGGTATTTCCTGAGTCAGCAACTACTACAAGTTCAGAAAACCACCAGTGAGTTTGTCACTTGCGCAAAATCAGTTTTCCAGAGCATGAGGATTTGATCTGACTAGCAATCATGGCGATGAGTAGCCCAGGTTTTGTCATCATCATCATCATCATCATCATCATTGTCAGCTGTAATAACCGCGTACATGTCTTACAGTGGTTGTTGCTGTCACATTTTTGTTTACGGATGATTCGGGGAGGTGAGTAGTTAGCTGCGCATTGGAGGCGGGAGCTGATAAATTAGTGCGTAACTACAGCACTGTAGGTTGACCGTTAAGTGGGGGAATTGGGTAGGGAGCTATGCATTGAAGATAATAGCTTGGATGCATGAGCGCCATTGAGGGCGCGACGGGTCATGTCTGACAATGTCTCTAACCATTGATATGGTTTGTCTCGGGGTCCCCATCCAGGAAGATGGCAATGACCAGCGCAGCTGTGTTTGCTGGTACTGGCTTTCAAATTTCGCTTTAAAGTTCTTAAGGCATTCCGTAAGCAGTTTTCTGTCTAACACTTAAGAGGATAACACTCGAGTGGAGTCTCGGTTTCATTTTAGCCTCTGAGCTTCGCAATTTCCCAGGTGTAGCAGGAGTTGAAATTTGATAATCTGACATACTGGAAAAGTGGGTAATTGCTACTCCGCTACACGCCTATCATACACCTCAAGTGAGATTTTCGAGCGCACCCTCAGAGATTCTAACCGGTGACCCTTTGAATATTTTGTTACTCAACTGCTACAGGCTACTCTGGAGCAGAGTTTACTTTGCTATCCTTACTTCATATCCTTCAGCCGGGTCAAAACAGCTTGTTTCAGTATGTGTTAAGGCATTCTGTACTCCCATCTAACCTGTCAGTAATAACTCGCTCACTTTGATACAATCTATCCAAATGTACGTCTGAATCTGGTTCTGTTGTAACCGACAGTATGATGTGATTGACAGTTCGGGTTTGACGTTTATCTGAATCAAATTTATGCCATTTTTGTAAGTGTTCAAACAGTGTTTCAACTTCGTCATTGAGTTTCTTGAACGCAGCACATTATATGGTGGCAGAAGTTTGAGTTATACCTAAACTTTACGCCAACAAACTATGAATAAAGCTGTACTTCTTGGACGATCGTTTCCGCCTGCTGGACCAGGGATAATTACCAGAGAATGGCTCGACCGGAATCACTCAGAGCCTGTCCCTCCTGGAGGGGATAAGTTACACGTATTTTGCATTTTACAAATTTTAGATCAAAATAGTAAATATGAAGGGACAATTAAGTTATATTGCAAGCTTCTTTGATGGAAACTTCAATAAGGCAAAATGCTTTCAGATACCGCCTGTGTGATCCATGCAAATTGTCACGTATTAAAAGACAGAATCATTCTTTTAGGGCAACGCCCTAAAAGTTCGATGTACAAAGGCGTCGCAAAGTAACATTTGATTCCTATTTTTTGCGTTCTCTGGCAAATCGTGTAACTTTCACGAAAACGTTCGCTTTGTCCAGTGTACGCTTGCGTGCGCTGACATTCCAGGTCTGCAAACCACCTGCTTTTTTGCACAAGTGTGTATGTTCCACACATAGGTAATCATGGTGGTAAGCAAGCTACTGTCTACAGCAAGATGACTAGGGGTTACCGCGACCATCAGGGTTAGTGAGTGGTGTTCAAATGAAAGATAGTGCACAAATAAACGATGCGCAAGAGACTGAGCAATGAAACATCACCAAATTATAAACTAAAACGTCAAATTTTTACCTCCAATTATTTGCTAGGTCAAAGTGAATATTCACACCAGAAAATCCACTGTATGGCAAAGACCATCGAATTCCATACCCTGCGATGACAATACTTAGTATGTTCTTTGAAATTCCCAATGCAGTTTTAGATAAAGCTACCGTTAGTAAAAAGTGAACATTCCGATAACTTCGGATACTGCCAGTACTGTGTGGCGGCTTTTTGATACGTTTTTACCACATTTAGTGATGTGGTATGAATGTGGCTAGTCATAGTATAGGATATTCCGTTAGAATCCGTAAAGAGCTGACTCCCGTTTACGCCAGAAATATAGTACTTCAAACTGTAATAATCAGATTTTCCTGGAAATAATAGGGATGACTGATGTGGTCTCCAAGGTGGTGGACACATTCATAACTGTCACACTCCCGATTCGCATTACCCATATTCTGCTCATTTATATCAAAATTAACTTCACCCTGGGACGATGAATATGATGTCGTGAGAAGCAGGCCAAGGGCAAGTAAGGTGTATTCAAAGTTTAGGTTTTGGACTCTCACTGCAGTAAACAGGTTTTTAGCAATTCTTGTTTTTTTACGGGGTCTGAACTGCCGAAGAACTTTAATTTCTATTTTTTCTTAGTTAACAGGCAACATGGAGCTAATGAGTGCACAGTTCAAGGCAGCAAGGATAAACTGTAACAGGTGCGCGCCGGGATAAAAGTAACATATCAGTGTCCTCTTAAAAATCAAACTGCCTGTCGACCCGTCATCGCTGCTGGCCAGGTACATCTTGCAGGGGGCACCTGAAGATGCCTAGTAGTTTGTTTCCAATTTCACCACCAGGTATTCAGTGATCCAATCGCTCGAAATTAACCATGTTTCAGCAGCTCTGGTTGCCGACTAACCATCATAAAATGCTAAAAACGGTCAAAGGTATCTACCGACTATATTTGCTTAATACTTAGAGGTGCATCCTTGACAACGTGTTGATTGTTCGCTAGGAGGCCACTCATCTATCGCAAACGTCGTAGGAGGTCTATTCAACCTAGCCTCCATTGACAAAAATGTCCTAGAGTATCAAACATGTTTACTTGTGTGATCAGCCAAATGTGAGTGATTGTACAGTCGTCTAAGAGCTTAAATAGCTGTTTTTTGTTAGATCAGGAGCTGAAATAAATAAATAAACATTTTCAACTATGCATAGGCACTCAACATACGACAACAGGATGTCGCGTCCTAATGTTTAGGACCTCGGCCAACTTGTGTAATCAACCTTCTCAATAAATTTCATCCCCAAACACATTAATTTCAGTCTCTCCTGGCATATCCTCTATAGATGAAAGGACTACTGTGTTTGGTAGCGCAGCACAGCTGATACAACGGGTGCCTTTGGAGTGAACCAACTGTTGTAGCCGTATACGAGTGATGGTAGATGAAAGTCCTTAGTGCATCTTAATCTCAACCGTCGGCAAATATTCAAGAGCTTTGTTCCCGATAACAAGTTCTAAGACTCCAGAGTCCTGCTTACGACTTTTCCAGCGGGAGAAAGGTTCCAAATGGTAAGATTGTCAACCAGGTAGCAGCGGTACAGTGCTTTAAAAGAATGACATCTACACCACCACTAATGACTGAGGTGGTTTTCTCATTTTACACCAAGTAAAGTCATTTATGGCATTTTTGTTGTTTGCAAGACTGTCCTTAAGTTCCCAAAGTTTGACAAAAGGTTCACACACGTAGAGGTTTTGGTTTTCTTTATTTAACAATGTAAAATAGAAAGAAATCGTTTAATAACGTGAGGTGCCTAAAGGGAATCAATAAAGATTAAAGGCGACAGTACTCTTCTCAGACAGGTAGGTACAGGCCAAGAGTTGTCCTCAAGATGCAACAGGTTTGACGAATACGATTATTTGCAATTTTACGGAAGGGGAATCTTTCGTTCATGATGTTATTCATAAACTGAATGTGTTGCACATATGGCGGCATAGTGCAGTATATTCATTTGACAAGAAAAATTTCTCGTGATAACTCTAATTTTTTTTGCAAATTAGTGCATTTTTCGATTAGCAAAGCGGCTCTCTCTAATCAGTGGCTCACCTAATTTTTCAATTTTTTCCAAAAAGCTATGTTTCAAAGAGAGGATGTTTGTTTTATCATGTGGACTGTTCCGTGCGTGAGAGCCAAACGCCATTAATAAGCACGTTACGGGCTTGGGACTTCTTGGTTTTCTGCAAACAGCGTTGTACATTTCGAAGTACATCCATAATTTATAATAAGTAGTCGACTTGGCTTACCTCTGTTTGCTTAAGTTAATTTATTCAACCATGCTGTTCATGGAGCCAAGCATACAAAATACATTAAATAAGCCCTTTGAGGTGAAAAATCATGCGGACTGAAATGTTTATATGCTCTAATTTCAAAATGCAATTCCTCTAATGCATAAAGTTGTCAAATACATTGATTTCACCTTTAGCTTTATCTGATAAACGTAATAATTCGTCTATACACATCATACAGGCTGTTTGCTACATCTGTGCTTCTGGTGATAAACATTTGGTCGTCAACATCTGGCCTTCCC